TTCAAATATTAATTGGTTAAAGAAATAACAAGATTTACCAAGCAGGAAAAAAAAAATCTGTAGTTAAGACTGTACTGCAGGGGGGGGTGAGCTGGAGAGATTGCCTGTTCTTCCAAAGGTCCTGAGTTCAATTCCCAGCAACCACATGGTGGCTCACAACCATCTGTAAAGAGGTCTGGCGCCCTCTTCTGGCCTTCAGGCATACACACAGACAGAATATTGTATACATAATAAATAAATATAAAAAAAAAAAGACTGTACTGCCGGGTGGTGGCGCAAGCCTTTAAATCCCAACCCTCAGGAGGCAAAGGCAGGTGGATCTCTGTTAGTTCCAGGACTGGCTCCGTACATAGCTACTAAGAAACCCTGTCTTGAAAAAAATCAAAAACAACAACAAAAAAAATTGTACTGACAGGCAGGTATGGTAGTTTTCATGTATAATGCCAATATTTTGTAGTCTGAGACAGTAATATTACTTGCAAGATCCAGGCCAACCTAGGCAAAGGGCAAAACATTGTCATTCACCGCCCCAACCCATCCCCACACACACAGCCTCCTCCCTATTTAAAGTCAGACTTAGTTCCTGACTATAATTCCAAAACTTGGGAGCCTCAAGCAAGAGGACCAGGAAGGACTTCAAGACCAGCCTTGAACTGTAAAGGCTCAACAGGTAAGTTCTTTTTTTTTTTTTGGTTTTTTGAGACAGGGTTTCTCTGTGGCTTTGGAGCCTGTCCTGGCACTAGCTCTGTAGACCAGGCTGGACTCGAACTCACAGAGATCTTGTCTGCCTCTGCCTCCCCAGTGCTGGGATTAAAGGCATACTTTACAGGTAAGTTTTTGATCCTTAGCCTTGCTCCAGACACTTATTTATAAATTTATGTGCATAGTTACATAATGTATGTTTCCATGGTGAGAATTTACAGTTTGAGAACCTCTACAATACTACAGATACAACTGATGATATTAATATTGCAGCCAATACTGATAACAAAGTAAACTGTTCAGAAGATGTTACTGCTAATTTTTTGTCAGGATATTACACACATTCTGCCAGATTTGTTTGCCTGGTTTTAAGACAAGGTTTCACTACGGCCTGTCTGGCCCCAAACTCAGGATCTTGACTCAGACTCCCAAGCACAGACATGTATGTGCCACAACACCCTGCTCTCTGCCAATTTTTTGTTTTTATTGTTAATTGTGTGTGTGGGAGTAGATATGTTGACATACCTTGAAGGTCAAAAGAGAGTGTCTGACCTTCTGATCCCCTCAAGTTGGAGTAAGATGGCAGCTGAGAGCCACTCCATATGTGTTCTAGAAACCCATTTCTCGTGCTCTCCAAAAACAAGCAAGTACTTTTAACCACTGGTCCATCTTCTCAGTCTTAGTCTTACTTTATTGCATTTTTTTTAATGTTCCACAGTATTCCTCCTTTGGAGCCTCTTAAAATTCCAAGTGTTCTCTTTTCCTTAATATATTTATATTTGGCCGGGCAGTGGTGGTGCACGCCTTTAATCCCAGCACTGGGGAGGCAGAGGCAGGCAGATTTCTGTGAGTTCAAGGCCAGCCTGGTCTACAAAAGCTAGTTCTAGAATAGGCTCCAAAGCCACAGAGAAACCCTGTCTCGAAAAACCAAAGAAAAAAAATTTTGAGTTCCTTAATAATAAATAAATAGCCGCTGCAACCTTTAATACCAGCACACAAGAGGAGGCAGGTGGATCTCTTGTGAGTTGAGGCCAGTCTGGTCTACAGAGTGAGTTCCAAGAGCCAGGGCTACGGAGAAACCCTGTCTCAAAACAACAACAAACAAACAAACAAACAAACAAAAAGGCAGCAGAAGTGGTTTGAGGAATTTAATTATGAACTTTAAGTCAGGGTTGAATATTCATCTTTGCATAATCTACAGGGAAGGAAAAGATCACCAATACATTATTACCAAATAAAATTACAAGAAAGACATAACCCACTTCAATTTAAAAAGCTGACTTTGTAGAACTCTAGCTCTAGGGGATCTGATGCCTCCTTCTGACCTCTGAGGGCACACCCGAGGCATGAGAGTGGTACGCTCATACACACACATAAAATTAAATTTAAAGGTCTGAAATTTCAAAACAGCTTATTTTCTTTTTTGCTGCTTTTGTTGAGGGAGGCCATTCCTGGGGGTTAAAGCCAGAGCCATGCTTTACACTAGGCAAACACTACCACTAACTCTAATTCCAGCATGCTTTTTACTTTGTATTTTCTGCTCACAATGGCCTTGGATTCATCTTGTAACCTAGGAAAACCCTTGACCTTGTGATCCCCCTGCCTCAGCTTCCACCAGGCCAGGCTAATTCAACAAGTTTTAGTCAAAGTTCAACCACCATGCTCATCATGAAGTTCCCTCCATCATTTGCATGGGCAAACATTATCATCAGTAATGAGATATGCCTGCCTTGTTCTCAGAGAATTTATTATTATAACTGGGATACAAGAACAGTACAAATGAAACAGTACTGTTTGAGACAGGGTCTCACTACATATGAAAACATTTAAGAAAACTACAATGTTGGGAGGAAGGGAAGGAGAGAGAAAGAAAAAGAGAGAGAAACATACAGACAGGTGTAATGGTGCACGCAGAGGCAGGCTTATCTCTCTGAATTTGAGAGCAGCCTTGTCTACAAAGAAAGTTTTGGACAGACAGACAGAGAAAACCAGAACACACACACAGAGAGAAACTCTGTTTCAAGAAATAAAAAAAAGAGAGAGAGAGAGAAAGAATAAAGTATCTTATGAGATGACTGAAGACATTTTTTTTCTTCCAAATGAGCCTTAAAGAAAACATTAAAAGTGTAAGAACCTTTGGAGACCACTGGCAAAGTTTCAAGAGTTTCACAGATAATCTTAAATAGCACTTATTTATTATTATTATTATAAGTTATGCACATGTGTGTGAGCATGTGTGGGTTCTGGAAATAAGCTCACTCAAGTCATCCTTTTACAGAGGAAAGCACCTTTACCCCGTAAGCACTCTCATCGGCCCAAAAACAGACTCTAGCATAAAAACACCATCTCTTTACAAATAAAGTCTTTAGATGCTATGTTTACAACATTCCTAATTAGGCTTAACATGTTTTAAATCACATCTTAAGATATCGGTGGAGAGCTGGCTCAGTGGTTAAAAGTACTTCTACTCTCCCCAGAGGACCTGGGTTCAGTTCTCAGCACCCACATGGGGCAGCTCACAACTGTCTCAAACACCAGTTCCTGATATCAGATGTCTCTGGCCTTATGCAGCTGCACTCACAAGAATATACCCACAAACAGACATGCATACACCTACAAACAATTAAAATAATAAAAATGAATCTTCAAATCCCCCCTAATCATTTTTCTAATGCATACTAAATAATAAAGTAACTTTCAAATTTGAGAAGTCACAATAACCAATGTATTTCTAAGATACAAAATGTCTTACTGAAGCTGGGCAGTGGTGGCGCACGCCTTTAATCCCAGCACTTGGGAGGCAGAGGCAGGCGTATCTCTGTGAGTTCGAGACCAGCCTGGTCTACAAGAGCTAGTTCCAGGACATGCTCCAAAACTACAAAGAAGCCCTGTCTCGAAAAAAAAAATAAAAATGTCTTACTGAAAATTTAAATGCTAAAACTTATGTTTACCGTATCACCGCACCAAAAATGAAACTTATGTCAAAATAGAAATAACCTTAAAATTCTAGGAAAATTTACGATGACACAAATATGAGAAAAAATATATATGGAAACACTTGCATCTGTCCGAAAGTAAATACAGAGCTAAAAATAAATTACAGATCTTTTAGTCATTAAGGTAAAATGCAAGCACATAATAAAGTAAAATTTAAACACAAAAAGGGCATTGCAGTCTATAAACTCACTATTTAAACAATGTATTAAAAAAAGAATAAGCAGTTTGGAAATCTGGCAAAATATCACAGATCACATGAATGTGAGTTCCAATATTTCAAATGAATCAAGTTTTTGTAAATTATCATTTCATCAACATCACCTCTCCCTACCTAGGCCTCTGGACCCATTAAGCAGCTGACTTGCAATATACCTTTTTTCTTTTTAAGCAGAAACACAATCTTGCAACGGCCACAAATAAAATATGTACTATAATAAAGAATTAGGCCTATGATTTTCGGGGATAGAAGACCATGACTACTCGAGATGGCTGTCTTTGGTACAGAGATCTCCTCATAATAGATTTTACTCCTTAAACGACGAGTGGTACGCTGAAGAAATACTATCGCCTTTCTTTTTAATTAAGGTAAGACGGCCCCAATCATCACTAGTGCAGTTCATTTTCTGCTATTTCAGGGCTGGCAGATGGATTTAATACACCCACACACCCTCAAGGGAAGGAAAAATCACCACCCTTCTCCCGGGGACTGTAATGAAAATGAGCAGGTAAGCCAGGCCTCCGCAGCACGCTGGAAATCAAAGAGGGCGGCCCTCCGGCTCGGACTGCGGAGGAAAGGCCAGTCCTCCGACCCCACCTCCCCTCGCCTCTCTGCAGGGGCCGGGGGCGGAAGGGCTCATTAGTGCCTTCGTTAATTGACACCTGTAATGAGGAAACTTTCCGAGACCGCCCAGACCAGGCTAGGCCAGGGCTGCGCCGCGGCCTCCCTCCCGGGCGCCCAGGTAACCCGGCCGGCCTGGGCCCGAGACGCCGCCACGGCCCCGCCACCGCGCACCTTCCCCGGGCTCCCGGGCCCGCACGCCGGCCGGCCGGCTCGGCACTGTCCGCAGGCCGCGGGAGACGGGGGAGGAGGCCGGAGAGCGGTGCGGGGTGGGGGGACCCCCAAACCGTGCACCCCGACAGGTCCCCTAGCCGGCTACTTACTTTCATTTAACACCTCCACCAGGTCTGCGCAGTTCTCGCACATCGTTCGGCCGCCGCCCCCCCCTCCCCCGCTGAGGATCGCGCTGACTGATCCCGACCGGCGGGGGGGGAGGGGACAGAAGCAGGGGAGGGGGCCGGCCTGCCGGCGGGGCGGGGAAGCGACGAGGGCGGGCGGGCGGGCGGCGGCGAGGACGGGGCGGGGAGCGGAGGGTGGGGGAGGGGGCCGGCGGGCCCGGGAGCGGGCGGGGGCGAGGAGGGGGGTGAGGGAGGTGCAGGCCTCAGGGGCGCCGAGGCGCAGGCGGCGGGGGAAGGGGGAAGGACGGGGGAGGGAGGAGGGAGGGGCGGGTGGGGAGAGAAGCAGCAGAGTCACTTCACCACCGACCAGACGCCGCGGCCACCGCCGCCGCCGCCGCCATTTTAATGGAGCGCTCGGGCTGCGCTCGGCTCTTTCCGCCCAGGCGAAGGAGCCGAGGAGAGGCGCCTCGCGCTCTCATGCCTCCGCCCTCCCTCCCGGCTCCTCCCGCCCTCCGCCTCTCTCCGCACACACGCCGCACGCCTCACACCCTTGCCGGAGCCGCTGGCCGCCCTCCCTTTCCTCTTCCGTCCAGCCTCCCCGCCCTCGGTCCACCCCCTCCGCGCGCTCGCCCACCCCGCCCAGCCCGGATCTCTGTCAGAGGCCGGAAGGGAAGCGCGCCGCCCGCTGCCGCGGGGGGGAGTCGGGTGAGTAGAAGATGGCGGAGGCTGCGGGCGGGTCGCGGCTACGCGGACTCTCCCGCCCCGGGCCGGTTGCGCGCTCCGGGGAGGCTCTCCGAGAGCTGGGTCGGGAGCGCCGCCGTGTCCGCCGCTGCAACGCTAAGGCCTCTCGCCCCGCGGCCCCTCGAGGGGACGAGGTCCGAGTGTGGCTGCCACTCGAGCCCTGGGGCGTGCGGACGGCGGAAGGTCAGCGGGTTCCGGCGCGCGCCTCTCTCCCCACCTGGCTCCGTGAGAATGGAACAGCCCAGGGCGCGCCCTCACCTGAGTCTCTGTCGAGCGCTCCCGCGCCGTTCCGGGAGGCTCGCCTGCCCTCCAGCAGGGAGACACCACACCTTGACAGGGCTAGAAATGGCGCGCCAGAATGCCCCCATGACATCTCGTTTTTACTCACGAGGTCTTCTCACAATATGCCTTCCCATTCTTCATCGGAAATGGTGGCTTCGGCATTTTCAGCACGCCAGACCTCAAAGCTGTTAGCGTGAAGAACGAAACCGGGCGTGATGGTTTATGACAGTAATCCCTAAACGCAGGCAGGAGGATGGCTTGGACTTCGAGGGCAGTCCGAACGACTTTTAAGTTATTACCTATGATATTGACAAGTCTGCAGTATTGAGTCTTTGGGGGAAGATTACCCTTCTCTAATAAATGAATTCAACCAACGTGTATTTTAACCCTTCTCTTTGCCTGAAACATGATCTAGATATAGAAGATAATTAAAAACATTTTGTAGGGTTCATGTAGTACGCAACTAGATGGGGTTCTTGCTGTGTTAGCCCAGACTGGATAGAATTCCACTTGCTCCTGCCTTCTGGGAACTGGGATTACAGCTTTGTGTCACTTTGTAGTTATACTTCATCCCCACCCCTAACATTTAAAATTACAAATAGGATAAGAGCTAACCTTGAAATTGAAACAGGTTAATAAAAACTAGGACCCTGCCAGACAGGGATGACACACCCCTTCAATCCCAACACTTGAATTCGAGGCCAGCCCAGAATATACAGCAATTTCCAGGACAGCCAGAGCTATGCAAAGAAACTCTGTCTCAAAAATACAAAAAATAAAAAAATCTGGGTCCCTGATGCTTTCCTTGACCAAGGGTCTATTCTTAGACTGCTTATGTGAGAAAAAAAATAGAAATTTCCTACAAGTCTGGTAGCACATGCTTCTTTGTGGGGAAAACAAAGGCTAGCATCCCAACTATAATTCCAGCAGAGGCAGGCAGGATTGTCACGCCTTTAAGGTCAGCCTGGCCCACAAACTGAGTTCAAGGACATTCAAGGCACCTCAACAAAGCCCTGTTTCCAAACAACAAAAAACGCCACCAGGTGGCGCACGCCTTTAATCCCAGCACTCGGGAGGCAGAGGCTGGAGGATCTCTGAGATCCAGCCTGGTCTACAGAGCTAGTTCCAGGACAGGCTCCAAAGCCACAGAGAAACCCTGTCTCGAAAAACAAAAAAAAAAAACAAACACGCCACCTGAGCTGAGGGTGTAGTTTAGTGTTCGGCTTGATCAGCATGCGCACATCCCGATTCGGATCCTGCAAATACACATACAGACAGAAACGCTCTGAGAATCTGGGCAGTCACAGAAGTGATCATTCTTCCATTATCTACATCAGGGCTCAGCAGAGGCTGTAGCAGGTACAAATAGTAAAGGTTTTAGACTTTTTAGAAAATAGGGGCCCTAGTGATTACAAACCTGCCAATCAAGGAGTACGGAGGCTGAGTATAAAGGACACTATCTCAAAACGCGCATAAGGACTGGGGAGGTGGCTCTTTAGGTGCTCGCTGCTCAAGCACGATGACCTTTGTGTGGCCAGCACCCATATTAATGCACAGGGCACCAAACAGGAAAATTCCTCAAATTCAGTGCTTAGCCAGACAACTGTAAGGCAGATGGGCTAGCTAGGTGATGGTAGCTCAGATCTTTAATCTCAGCACTCCGGAGGCAGAGGCAAGCAGGCTTCTGAGTTCGAGGCCAGCCTGGTTACAGAGCGAGTTCTAGACTAGGCTCCAAAGTTACACAGAAACTCTGTCTGATGAGCTGGAGGACGTGAGCTGACAGGGCAGAAACAATCCCTGTAACTCCAGCTCCATGGGGTCTTATGCTACCTCCTGATCTGTACGTAGAGCCTTGCAGGCAAACATCCAGACACAGAATAAATTTTAGGCCAGGTGTGGTGGTGCACACTTTGATTCCAGCACTCGTGAGGCAGAGACAGGTGAATCTCTTGAGTTTCAGGCCAAGATGGTCTACAGATCGGGTTCCAGAACATCTGGGTCTGTTACGTAGAGAAATCCTATCTCAAAAAAATAAATTTTAGGGAAAAAAACAGTGATTGTACCACCTGCATTACAGGTGTTCGCGTGCCACTGTACCTGGAGACTGAAAGAACACAAGAGACCGGGGTTGTTCGAAAGGAGACCAGTGGAATGCCATCTATTCAACTTTGAGGAAATCCTTAAATACCCAGCTGCTACACAAGGAATTCCCCCCAGGCAGGTGGGAAATTGCCACACCCAAGATGAAGTAAACAATGCCCTACAGCTAATCACCAGGCAGGGCAGAGCTAGCACAGGAACAAACAGAATGTTTTAGCTGGCTGACCAGAAACTGTCTTCAACATGAACTCCAGGAGCCGGGGTAGACTCATGGGCCCTACAAGTGATGAAGTGAGTGAAGACAACACCCTGACATCAACCTCTGGCCTCCACACATAAAAAAATCTAGCACACGGGGCTGGAGAGATGGCTCAGAAGTTAAGAGCATTGCCTACTCTACCAAAGGTCCTGAGTTCAATTCCCAGCAACCACATGGTGGCTCACAACCATCTGTAATGGGGTCTGGTGCCCTCTTCTGGCCTGCAGGCATATACACAGACAGAATATTGCATACATAATAAAATAAATATTTAAAAATAAATAAAATCTAGTACACATGTATAAACCATACAGACACAAGACAATTTGGGCTTCAACACAATATAAAAGTAACTATAGCTGGGCAGTGGTGGCACACACCTTTAATCCCAGCACCCAGGAGGCAGAGGCAGGCACATCTCTGTTGACCAGCCTGGTCTACAAAGCGAGTTCCACGACAGCCAGGACTGTTACACAAAGAAACCCTGTCTTGAAAAACAAGCAACACAAAGAATGGTGTCTGAGATGACTCAGTGTGTAAAGGGACTTGCCACACCATCCTGAATACCGACATTTGAGACAGTGAACCAACATAAATGTTGAAGGAAAGAACCAACTTGACAAGAATTGTCTTTGGCCTTTATTTACTTATTTATTTATTCATTTATTATGTATACAATATTCTGTCTGTGTGTATGTCTGCAGGCCAGAAGAGGGCACCAGACCTTATTCCAGGTGGTTGTGAGCCACCATGTGGTTGTCTGGAATTGAACTCAGGACCTTTGGAAGAGCAGGCAATGCTCTTAACCACTGAGCCATCTCTCCAGCCCTGTCTTTGGACTTTTACACAAGACTTATGGCAGATGTGCCCACACAGGTCGACACACATGTACATGTGCCCACGCAGGTCAGTATACACTTAATAGAAATGTGTAGGGAAAAAGAAATCATTTTCACCCATAAAGAATATAGCTTGATGAGTTCGAGACCAGCCTGGTCTATAAGAGCTAGTTCCAGGACAGGCTCCAAAACCACAGAGAAACCCTGTCTCGGAAAAAAATATATATGTATATAGCTTGATGGATAGAATGCTGGATGAGGTCCTAGGTTCAATCCCAAGTACCTTGTGTTGGCATCCTTAGCATCTAGTTCAAAGCCAGCCAGGCCTTGGATACCTGATACACTGTTATAAAAGAAAAGGCTTCCTGATAAGCAAAGTGACTCAGGCCTGTAATCCCATCACTTGGAAGGCAGAAATAGGTCTTAAACATTTAATAAGACCCTGTTTTTCATTTATTTGTTTTGTTTGGCTCTCTGCAACTGACTGTGTAGACCAGGTTGGCCTCAAAAATCACAGAGATCCACCTGCCTCTGCTGCATGTGACACCATGTCCAGCAGACATGTTCTTTTTTTTTTTTAAGATTTATTTATTTATTACATCCATATATGCCCTCAGGCCAGAAGAGGGCACCAGATGGTTGTGAGCCACCATGTGGTTGCTGGGAATTGAACTCAGGACCTCTGGAAGAACAGTCAGTGCTCTTAACCTCTGAGCCATCTCTCCAGCCCAGCACACATGTTCTTACAGAGGTTCCAGGTTTGTTTCCCAGCACCCAAATGGTGGTTAATAAGTACCTGTAACTCCAGTTCAGATCTGATGTTCTCTTCTGACCTATTAGGCGCCAGGCATGCATGTGGTGCGAATACATGCGGGAAAATATTTATACACATAAATTTAAAAGGG